TCTCGTTTATACTTTCTATAAAATAAGCGTTCATTCGTTCTGCAATCAATATTTTTTGTATTACTATACCATCTTCGCAGCACATTCTTGATAATTCATTCTTCCTACTCAATCCCCGATTCATTTGTCAGTTGTCACTTGGTACCAACTCAACAGATAACTAAAACGGGAACTAAAACTGGTTCAAAAAGCTCAGAATTCTTGTCTGAGACTGGATAGACAAAGAGTATCCCACAAACTATCTGAACTCGGATGGTTGAATATGGCTCAGAGGCGTACCTTGCACTCTACTTCCTTTTTTTACAAGATTATAACATATAAAAGACCTTCTTATCTTCACTTAAAAATTAGTTATCGGACTGATGTACATAATCTAAACATTAGAACATTGAATTTGATTACAATACCATCACACAATTAAGAATCATTTAAGAAATCATTCTCATATCAAATTGCCTTTTTGGTAAATAAATTCAAAATTAAAGATTTTTCTCTCGGTACCTTCATTTAAGAGAAACCTTAAAAGTGATTTACTGTCTCACATATCATAGAAAACACATCTCGTGCTCTCCCTTTTCTCTTCTTCTCTTTCCCCTCGCTTTCTCTTCTCTCTCTAAGTTTCCATTTCCCTACTTCCTCTAGTAGAATAATTGTGGCACTCATTGTTCAATACAATAAAATTTTCAAAATGATTTGGTAGAAGATGATTTTTCAACAGTTTGTAAAATATCAGGAATATTTAAATTAAGATTAAAACATTATTAATTATCAATGTCATAATGGCCATTTGCATTACTATAGAATTGTTTGAATTTGTTTGTTTTTTTTTTCTCTAGCAGCTGCTTCTTTAAGGGGCAAGCTGATGTAACCCTTTATCCTCTTAAGGCTTTTTTTGTTTGTAAACCTTGTCTATACTGTTTAATGAGGGTAATAAATATTATTATTATTATATACAGGGTGGCCTATCCATGTGTGGACGGAATATTACTCATAAAACAATACATTTTCGGAAAATCTATTTATGGCATGTTATACATGACATTTGTAGGCACATTTCTAAAATATTGGCAATTATACAGGGTGTCCCAATTTTGAGCTACATATCAAAGTTGTGATTTTTTTAATGGAATGCCTCAAATTTTATTGCTTATTTGGATAAACCAATTCAAACGAAGAAGATTGATATAACATAGTATGGAGTTTTAGTAATTAGCTACTGAGATGTAAGGTGTTTTGTCCAGAAAAACCGTCCACTTCGGCAACCCCTCAATCCGCCATTTTGAAATTTGGAGTGATGAATTTTGTATCAAACAAAACTTACACACCTCAGCTTTTATCTTATTCGTTACTTTTTCGAATTTTAATTTTTGCTCATCCACGGTGGTCAAAAACGCAAATTGTAGTTTTTCTCAAAAATGTCACCCTGTATATTTGTGCAAGTTTGGATTTAATTTTTTATGAGCTTTTTTTTTAATATTAGACACATAATGATTTTTACGGCTATTTTTTTCGATTAGCTGTCTGTGGAGGTTTCACCAATTTTTAGTTACAAGGTGTTCAACTTTTTCCAGAATATAATTGAACATGCAACTTTTATATAGGCGATTGTTGGTATATAAACTTCTTTTGACGAGTCCTACAAAACAGTTAAAATAAATGACTCAACCCTGTATTTTTCCTACATATGTCAAGGAAAGATAAATATGTAATATATAAATTATCTTATACAGTTTGAAGATTCGGCGTACCTAAGTGAGCGTCCCTAGTCACGATTTGATTCCGCCTTTTGGAACGACGTAACACATCATTTTTCTCCGAAACCTCCAAAGAAGGCGTATGAAGTATACAGTCAATCTACTTGACGCCATTTTTCGTTTGACTCTTACATCTAAACTGGTGAACAATTGCTTTACAACATGGAAAATCCTACCCAAATTCAAATCCGAAATTTTCGGAACGAAAAGAGATATCGAGTTGCGCTATTCGGGAGGTTCTTCACCAACTCCTTGTCGGATCCCCAAGTTCAGATCTTGTCCATTTTTCTACCTGTATGCATCTTTTTGATATTTGGAATATTTCTATGACTTTTCTCCGGTTTCATCCTCACTACCTACACCTCAAACATGCAATTGCTCAGTAACAATAATATTGACTGTAGGCTTAATAGTATAATTTTATTTTCTCAAAAAGACCGAGAGAATTGTATAAGATCAAGGTCCTTTAGTGAATGATCTAGCTAAACATCATTGAGCATCAAGACAAAATGCTCCTCAACAATGGAGGAGCTGTCTGGGGCTATTCAGGAAGAGTGGGAAAATGTATCCCGAGAATTTATTAGTTACATTCTGGAAAGTATCGTAGGCTGTGATCGATGGGTGACCCTACAAGGTTCTAACAATATTGTTTAAAATAACTGTTGCTGTTTGTAAAAAGTTCGTTTTTGTCATGAATAAATAATTTAGGTATTTAACTGGTCTTCAGATTTTTGTTTTCTAAAATGTTACATTTTGTTAATGTTAATCAATAAATTCTTTGATGTAGTTTAAAAATTTAATAGAGTCTATTACCTGGAAAACATCTTCACTGAAGACGCGTACGCCAATGCTGAATGACAAAGATAAAAAAATATAGATAAAATATGGAAAGCAGTGTTGGCCAACATCATAGCATTTTGAAAAATATATTTTTTTTTAAATTAATAGCACTTCTTACCAAACCGAAAAATGCTTTTGTTGTTACGCCACTGGAATACTCCCTATACTACATGTTTGATTTTGAGTTATTTCTTATCGTCGCATAGCGGACATTCCAGTAGTTCATAATAAGTAATAAAATGTTGAACACTTACAAAAGTTTTAAAATTACGCTTTTGAAATGTATGATTTTCTTATTTTTTTACTAACTTATTCGATAAAAATACAATTTTCTGTAAAAAATCTCCTAGTAATAAAATGTGCAAATTATGTAAATAATATCTCTATCTAACAAGCTTTCATTTGAGGTATAAAAGTTCCAACTAACTCAACTACAAAGACATAAAATTAAAAAAAAGATGAGTAAAGTTGTACGAACGATAATTACGTAGGATAACTAAAAGGCTTTTATTTTAATTACAGTTTTATTTAATTATATTTCCTTTAGTATTTTACAGATTCTGCTCAAATTGTAATCCCCTGTTACGAATACACGCCCGCATTCTCTTACGTAATTCATTTTTGGTTAAGCGGCATTTTATTTGGTCAGCTGCATTGATTATCCTTGTAATTAATTCATCGCGCGTTGGTACGTGCGAAACATCGTCCACCAGGCTTTTCATATGTCCCTACAGATAGTAATCCATCGGTGTGAGATCTGGGCTTCTTGCTGGCCAGGCAATGGACCCGCCTCTGCCAATCCATTGATTTGTAAATTTTGAGTCTAAATACGCCCGTACTAATCTACTGTAGTGTTCGGGACAGCCGTCGTGCTGGAACCGCATATTTTGTCTCGTCGCCAATCGGACGTCTTCCATTAATGGAAACAAGTGATTTTTCAAGAACTCTTCATACACTTCGCCATTTCAATTGGCGGGCAGAAAATAAGGTCCAATTAAATATCCATCAATGATGCCCATCCACACATTGACTGAAAACCGGCTCTGAGACCCCGTCGGTCTTATTTTTCGGGGGTTTAAAGCTTCTTTATCAGCCCAGTAATGAGCATTATGGTAGTTAGTGATCCTGTCCTTATCAAACTTCGATTAATCGGTCCACAGAATTTTCTTAAAATAGTCTGGATCTTCTGTATCTGTATGTAACATCTACCTGCCGAAATCTAATCGTCTTGCAGGATCGCCCTCTTCAATCACATGCACAGGCGTGTAGTGATAAGGGTATAATCTTGCAGTATGCACAGTAAACCATACTTTGTATTGTGATATACCCAACTGAGCAGCCACAATGCGCGTAGACGTAGTGTAGGGTCTTCCTGAAACACACGAAGGATTTCCTCTTCATCTTCAGGAGGATAGACTCGGGGTCGATCAGCATCACTATGTTGCCTTTGAACACGTCCGGTTTGGCGGATGCGCCGATACACAGAGTCAAACACAGTAACATGAGGTGTTCGGCGATTCGGGAAACGTTGCCGATATTCACGGCGGGCAGCTGCAGAACCGCCGTTACAAAGTCCATAACAGAACATTATGTCTGCGTATTATTCATTTGTAAAAGTTTGCCCTTGCTCGCTATGGCGAGGTCCTGGCGGATCTTCTGCGTCTGCCGTGATGATAAAGAAACCACTCGAAATGAACTGGGAAACTCGAAAATAATAATCGTGCGTAAAACGTGTGCACGTACGCAGTAGTAGATACCAGCTAAACCTAATTCTCGGCGTGCGGCGATCGCGTAACTACAATGACGAATAATAACAGCTCTCTCTCTCTCTCACTCCTCCACTAAGATAAAACAATCATGGCATGCGAGTCCTTTGAGGACAGTAACGACTTGTTCAAACAGGTAATACAAATTCCTTAAAAATCCAGCCTCTGTGGGTGTCATTGTTGTTTCTCTGCATGTACTTCTGATAATTGAACGCTTAATACCTCAAATGAAAGCTTGTTAGATAGAGATATTATTTACATAATTTGCACATTTCATTACTAGGAGATTTTTTACAGAAAATTGCATTTTTTATCGAATAAGTTAGTAAAAAAACAGAAAATTATACATTTAAAAAGAGTAATTTTAAAACATTTGTAGCTTTTCAACATTTTATTACTTATTATGAACTATTGGAATGACATAGCCCCAAACTTTGCTAAAAAAAACATGACTTACTTTTGCTCACCCTGTATCAGTTGATAAATAAAAGAAATATACCGATCGAACCCTGTACGTTTTCTCAAAGAGTTGTTGAAGAACCTCCCGAATACCGCAACTCGATAACTCTTTCCGCCCGAAGCAATCGATATATGAATTTGGTTAAAACAATTTATTACAATGTCTCTCGTATTTTTACAGGACGACTTCCTTCTGCGGCACTACGACCGCGGCCCGTGCAACAACAAGCTCGGTCACTCCCGCGCCTCCGTTCTGTGGCATCGCACGCAAGTGGTCGGCATCTTCGCCAGCTTCGGCATCCTGCTTCTGGTCGCTTCGCCGCTCCTGTTGTTAGCTGCGCCGTGTATCGCGTGCAGCCGGTGTCGACTCTGCAACGCGGACGGCTCCTCTTCGCGGCTCAGCGACGACGACGACAACGAGGGGGCGGAGCGGAGAAATTCGATGGTCGGAGCGCGTAGGCGGAGCCAAGAAGACACGCCCACCGGGGGCCGATGACCACCGCCCATTAACGAGGCGGGTCTGACCAGCTGCCCCTGGTGCTTGTGAGGACACGCTGTTCGTACGACGACGTCACGACCGGAGACAGAAATTGGCTGTTATATGAGGTAGATAGTTTAAGATCTTGTTATGTAGTCATTGATTAACATATTCCATATAATTGAAAGTAGTGCCTGCGCGAAAATAAGCCTACGTACCAGCTTGCGAACGAACTAGTTTCATCGAACAATTTTTTACGATTGAATTAAGTGAACTAGTTCATCATTCCTTGAAAAACTCGTTCACTGGTATTAGAGGATCCCGATGATTCTATCGAACTAGGTGTGAGTGAATGAATGAGATAGAAGAAATAAGTCGGAACACCACCGTAAACAGAACGTTATAGAATGTGTTATTTAAACACGTGGCCAAACTTCAGGTGGTGATTATATGAGTAATTTTAAGTTGAAAAGTTTGTAAAAAACATAGGTCCAGAAATTCTTCATATGCAGATACAGGGTGTTAAACTTTTTGAAAAATCGTTTTTCCCTGAATATCGATAATTTAGCGGTAGCATTAAGAGCAGTAATTGACTATTTTAGCCCCGATTAGATTGAAATTATTAAGTCCAGTGGCGTCCCGTAAAACACCCTGATCAATATCTTCGACAAAAAATTTATACGTCACTGACGTTTTTCCATTCTATTTTTTCGGATTAAGCAGCTAAAAATACAACTATTTTGTCTTTTGAGTTTCTTTATATGTATATCACTTGTTTTTTTTTTATATCGAAACAGCCGCGCAGGCAGAAGTCTAAATGCCGGAACACCGCGGCTGCTATGATGATCCCCCAAAGAAATTTTGTTAATACGATTTTTGAACTGCCTAAGGTTAGTAGAACTGGGAAAAGCTTCCTCCCGTAGATTGTTCCACAACCTAGACACCCTCGGGACAAAGGAGCGGTCGTATCGGCCAGTTCTGGATGTACGAAGTTCGACACGATTAGGATGGGACGCCAAAGTTAGGTGGGTCTCTCTGGCAGGCACATCGCGCGACGGCATCATGGAAGAGAGCTCCGAGGAGCAAAGCCCGTTGGTGTAACGGTAGAAAAGAGCCAGATCGCCGACAGCCCGCCGGTGCGAAAGAGTCCCGAGACTGTCTGTTAGAGAAGAGTCATCGATCAGTCGGACCGCCCTCCTCTGGACAGCATCGAGCATGGACAATGTAGTCGGGGCGGCAGCACCCCAAATGTGTGAGCAATACTCGAGACTAGGCCTTATCTGGGCCTTGTATAGAGTGAGAAGGTCATGCGGAGAAAAGTACTTCTTAGCCCTAAACAAATAGCCTAGCTTTTTCCCAGCAGCTGCAGCTATTGAAGAGATGTGTTCGTGCCAGATCAGGTCCTCGGTGATCTGGACTCCGACCAGCCGAAATGAATGGCTCTTTGGTAGAACTCGGCCGTCCATCGAAACTGTATGAGCGCTAGGACGCTTTTTGTTCGTCAAAGTACAGTACTGTGTTTTGGAAGCATTGAACTGTACAAGATTGTTGCGTCCCCAAGCAGTGATAGCCTCCAGGTCTCTTCTCAGAGAAGAAGTCGTCGCTAGTCTTCTTTTTTCCAGCTCAGCGGCAGATATCGGCTTGTCACTCTGAATTCCTGCATGTAGAGTGCTGTCATCAGCGAAGCTGTGGATTGGGTTGATCGTGCAGGAAAGGAGGTCGTTGATATGTAAGAGAAACAGTGTTGGAGCCAAGACCGATCCCTGGGGAACACCCGCGTTGACGTTGTGGGATGAAGAGGAGAATCCGTCAATTACGACGGATATCTTGCGCCCAGAGATAAAGTCAGCCACCCATCTGCAAAGCTTTTCTGGGAGGCCGTAGGATGGAAGTTTGCTTAAGAGGGCAGCGTGCCACAGCTGATCGAACGCTTTTGTGATGTCAAGAGCAACGACATGAGCCTCACCATGAGACTGGATGAGTTTACTCCACAGTTGCGTGACGTAAGCTAGGAGGTCCCCTGTGGATCGTTGGTACCGGAAACCGTACTGCCTGTCGCTAATCAAGCTGTGACGTTCGAGGTAGTCCAGAAGCTCGCGATTTATGCACCTCTCCATCACTTCACTTACAACAGAAAGCAGAGCTATAGGCCTGTCGTTGTAAGGGTCGGTCTTAGATCCTTTTTTTGGGATGGGCTGTACATGAGCAAATTTCCAGTTTTCTGGGAAGGTGCCGGATTCATAAGATATCTGGAAGAGACGCGAAAGAACTGGAGCAAGCTCCGCTGCACATCTCTTCAGTACAATGGCAGGAATCAAGTCCGGACCAGAAGCTTTGTTGTTGTCGAGCGACAAGAGCACTCGTCTTACGGTCTTATGCCTGAATGTTACCTCCCGCATAGTGTGGGGAACCCTTTGAATTGACGGCACTTGGGCGTTGGTGGGGACGTCCATGGTGGAGTTGGCAGCAAAGATCTTGGCTAGCACTTCTGCCTTGGCCTTTGAGTCGAATACAATAGTTCCATCCTGACACGTAAGTGGTGGAAGGCTACTGTGTGAGAAGTTCTTTTCAATCTGCTTGGCCAGCGTCCAGAAAGACTGACTGCCATTGCGCTGCGACATTGCCCTGTGCCTAACTTTTATATCATGCTGGTTTTTGGCATTGCGAACCGCTTCGTTATATCTGTTTCTGGACTCGACGTCGGCTTGTCTGTTCTCTACAGTGGAGTTTTGTAAGTAGGTTCTGTGGGCCTTGATCTTCTGCTGGCGAGCAGTGTCACACGATTTGTTGAACCAGCCGTTGGACCCTGGTTTAGGAACTTTCACTGTGTGAGGGATGTATTCCTCCATTCCGACGTGGATAATTTCGGTTATTGAAGAACAGACAGTCGACGCATCCGCGTCAGTGAAACAGACATCTCTCCAAGGAAAGCTAGAGAAGAAGTCTCTGAGCCCCTCCCAGTCGGCATGTCCGTAATGCCAAGTTTTGCGGCCTGTGCGAGTTTCTGCTGCCACAGCGGCTTCTGACCGAAACCTAACCTCCACAACACCGTGATCTGAGTTACCCAGGGGGGACAGGACAGCAGTGCTGTAAGGGGCAGGATGCGTGGTCAGAAAGAGATCCAGCAGGCTACTGGCGTGTGACGAGACGCGGGGAAAAAAAGTAGGACTCGTCACCAGCTGGGTCAGCCCTTGAGTAAGAGCGAACGCTTCGACTGCACGACCTGCTGCATCGGTCTTATTTGAGCCCAACCAAAGCTCATTATGGGCATTGAAATCACCGAGAAGAACTACCTCTGAAGCGAGGTGATTGATGTTCAGGAAGTCGATCTGGATGGAGAGGTATTCGAGTAGGTCATCCCAGTTATGGTTCGAGGGAGAGCGATAAAGGCAGCAAATAAATTTGGGTGATGTTTTGGAGTTGAGGCGAAGCCACAGAATGTCCTTCCGGTCTGATTCCAAAGAAAGATCCCTGGAGCAGGAAAGACTGCTGCGGACAAAAGCCACAACTCCCCCGTTCTTTCTCAGATTGGAGTGCACCTTGTAGTTTGGGAAGTTGAGTTGGTTAATCGGTGCAGTCTCTGAGATTTTTGTCTCCGCCAAGAAAAGCACGGCGGGACGATTGGATTGCAGGTAGTGATGAACAGTATTAATGTTGCTGTTGATCCCGCAGATGTTCGAAAAACAAATTTTATCTTCGATGTTGTTCCCTCGAGCCCACCCTCCACCCGGACATTCCGAGAGTGGAGTGAGTTTACGTCCGGAGTTTTTAGTGCTCGAGGGATCCATCATCATTAATTTCTTTGTTTTGGTAGATAACCGACTGCATAGCTTAGGTGTGGAAACATGCGGACATTTATAAGACACCCTGGGAAAAGCTAGCGGGTGGTACTGCCTCGGTCGACTGGTCCTTGTCTACCACATTCTTTTTACGTGTTAGTGATGTTAAATAGACCTAAAGTGGCCCGTTGGCGGACTTGTACCGCCACCCGGCAATCGGTACTGAGGTATTCCTTAACGCGTGCACAATCACTTGGACGGGAAGAAGTTGTATACTGGATACAACAACTTCCGGAACAAGCATTTGCCACGGCCCTCGTTCAGTAGGGGTTGGTTTAACATAAGAAAACAACATATTCAAATTCTTTTATTAGGTCCGAACACTATACATAAGTATAGAGAGGAACATGTCACATGTGTAACACAGAATATTTCAAAAAGTCAAGATGAAATAAAAAACAAACTAAAAGAACAACAAACAAACTGAATATAGAAAATTTAAATCATGTATGTGAATGCCAAGTTAATGGACCTCCTTACAATTGAATTATTTCAGGTCGTTCAAAACCACAAGGAACTCATCTATGCTGTAGAAAGGGTTAGATAAGAGCATCGTCTTAAGGTGTTTTTTAAGAGTTTAACAGATTCTGGTAAATAATTGTAACGGGTGCTTTTTTAAGAGCCTTTTTTTGAAATATTGAATAAAAAAGCTAAAAATGCATTATGTTTACAAAATCCATATTGGAATCGATAAACTGGTTCTTGTCATTTACTTTTTAAAATGTCCATTGTTTCACGTGCTGTGTGGCATGTGACGCCGTCTTGTTGAAACCACATGTCAACCAAATCAGATCATCCAATGTGTGTAAAGAAAAACGGCTCGATAATTCCACCAGCCCATAAACCACACCAAACTGATGTTTTTTCTGGATGCATGGGCAATTCTTGTATAGCCTTATCACACCAGATGTGGCAATTTTGCTTGTTAACATATCCATTTAACCAAAAGTGAGCCTCATCGCTCAACACAATTTTTCGATAAAAGCAGTTGCAAGGCCCAATCACTAAAAATTATTAATAATAATTTTCTACAACCAGTCGTTTATTGTACTTTGCTTTTGCAACAACAGGTTTATGAAATTTCTATCTCGTATTTTATTTACGACTTCGACAATTGATATTAAGCCGAGCTAATGCTTGCGATGAGGGCATTTTCAGCAACTATTATAACTATAAATGTTTTTATTGAATCAAAAGTTTAAGTGTACCTAGTTTAAAAAAAAACATTTTCCCGGTCTATTTTTTTTAATTTCCAGCGCTATGTAAATATTTTATGTTTATTTGTTTTA